GGGCGCGGGAGGCACAGACCCTTACAGTGGTCTCTACTGTTTTGCCCGCTCCTCTTCCGGTTCAAGACCAGGGTCCCCAACAGCAGGAGTCAAGTTGTAATGGAAGGAAAGTATCGAGCCTGCCTGGTCTTTGTCCTTTGAGACATGGAAATGAGACATGGTCTCATTTCCCATTTTTCTTCCTCGTCTCCTCTAATGCATCACTGTGTATACTCGCCCCTCATCCTTACCTGCCCACAGGATGAAGAGCCACATCCAAACCTGGGCAAAGCACTCGGTACCCGCAGGGGCCCGGCATCCACATCATTAAAACACACGGCCACCAGCTGCTTTCTGCCACGCTGGACTCAACCAGAAGAACAGCTTCACGGAGCGTTTCTTCCGCTCACCCCTAACGGCTCTACTGACAGATTCAAACACGACTCTGAGGATTTCCCTTCTTACGGAGACAATGCGAGAAACTGAAGCCTTTTCTCTTGTGTGTTTCATCGTGGGGCGGAAAGGGGGCTTCGCTTGACAGTGGTGACCCTCAGCATCAGCGTCTAAACCTCCTTACAGGTTGCCAATGATTCCTCTGACCCCCGAGCGCCAGCCTGAACTGTGCTCTGTGCGCAGAGGGGCGGCAGCAGCCTCCCTACCGCAGAAACCGGGAAGGGGGCAGAGAATGTCAAGGCGCTCTTTCAGACCACACCGTGCTCTACGTCGGAGGCTCATGCTGCCGCCTTGATGTGCCTCCTCCTTCCCACGTTTCTCGTGTCCCCTCCTTTCTCCTTCACCTTCTCCCCAAACATGTGGTGTAGTGAGGACCACAGGTGAGGATAAATCTGGGAGGAAGGTCACCGAAAAGGTGCTACGTGAATGCAGATGGTGTTTCTGTAGTTGAAGATTTTGCTGTCTGTTATGCATGATGACCCGGGACCAGGCTACTTGTTCAGCACTCCGAGGAACTGGGAGACTGCTCAGAGATGGAGATCGAAAATAAACGACAGCTTTGCTTTTTCAGAAAGAAAATTGGATCTGGAATAACTGAAACCTCTAAATGAACTGTGACAAAGGCTAGTTTTACACTTGGGTTTAAAGTTTCGATTTTAAAGTTTGGGCTGCTCCCCTGTCATTAATATATCCAGTTCCAAATACAGAAATCAGTAAGGGGCAGGGAAAGGCAAAGGGGGTCAAATATATGGCGATGGAAGGAAATTTGACTCTGGGTGGGGAACACACAATGCGATATACTTATGATGTATTATTGAATTGTACACTTGAAACCTATATAATTTTATTAACCAATGCCACCCCAATAAACTTAGTTTTTGAAAATGCTCAAAGTAAAATAAAATAAAGTAAAATAAAATAAAATCAGTAAGTACGGGCCTCTTGCAGAGCAGGGCCTCCGCACTTGATCTCCGTTTCTGGCTCTAATGGTTCGAAATGAGCCTTCAGAAAACTTTTCTCAAGTATGAGCTCTTGGAAGATCTTGTGACATGGGGACAAAGGTGGGTTTCACAAGGGTGCCTCTGTTTGGGGCCTCAAGAATACCAAACAAATTGTTGGCCAGATACTGTTATTTCTCAATAAAATGTAAAAACGATAGAAAAATAATAGTGACCGGCCCAATCTAGATGTGGCTAGTATCCCATGAGCCTGACGACTCTGGAGACTGCGGGGGAAGAGCCGTGAGTAAACTGGAAGGCCTGACATGTCTTTCCGTGTCTCCCTCCGGGACAGCTAACGGACACCGTGGGCTTGCACCTGCCACAATAACATTCTGGGTGCCGAGTGTTTCTGTAAGTCCGAAGCTCCCTGCCCAGACTTCACGACTCGGCCATCGGTACACAGAATCACGCAGAAACAAACACGAGAGATGCGCACCAAGGTTTATGGGCGTGTTCACTACAGCCTTATTTATAACAGCTGAAAAACGGGAAGTTAAACGCCTAACACACAGATTAGATGTGTAGTTCAATTATGTCATATCTATACTATACAGCCATTAAGGATCATGTCTTCGAGGAACATCTGGTGACAAGAAAAATACAATATGAAGAAAAATCAAGGTACAAAACCGAAGACAATATGACAATATTTATGTATCCATTTATTTATATTATTCCCCCCTCTGGTCATATACACGCGCATGGCGGGAACAAACTAAATTAAAATGTCAATAGTGCTTATCTCCGAGTAATGAGATACTAAGTTATTTTTCTTTACTTCTAGATTCTTTTCTGAATTTTCTAGCTTTTCACTTATGCTTTTTGTTTTTTTGGAATAGTTTTTAAAAAGCAATTGTCAACTTTCACACGAATACCCAGCTATGTTGGCCCCAGTCTACAGTATAATTATTAGCAGTAAATGATAATAAAGTAAATCCTTGTCCCTACATGCGAATAACTACACACACACACACACACACACACACACACAAAAGCTGTATGTCTCAGTCAATAACAACCTCTGGGCCAGAGCCTTTAAACCTTGTGATCTGCATTAAAATTCATCCTGTCAAAATAATATCTACTCTATTAAATTTTACTGATATTGATGCAGGAAGACGGAACGAGGGAACTGATACTTGTTGAGTACATACTTTGGGCTTAGCCCATTTAAGGATGAGGAAGATGATGTTCGAGAAAAGGTCACACGATGTGCCCTGGTCAAATGACTATTCAGGGATGAAAATAAATTCAAACCTTCTCTGTCTGGTTTGAAAGCCTCATCTCCTTCGACCCCCGCGGGGCTGGCAGAAACTTCAGATGACACCCAGACTTCATGTCAGACATTTAAAAATATCTTCACAAAATATTTTGCTAGCACTTCCAACGTATGGCCCAAATAAATGATTTTTGTTTCTTTTCTTTCATGGAACTCTAGTGGGGGTGCCAGGGAAACTGCCCGAAGAAAAGATCACACACAAGAGAGAGGACAGCAAGTGAATAATTCTCTCCTGGAAAGCACCTGAAAAAACAGGCAGTGACTGTTAAATCTGGCTCTCTGTCCAGCGAGAGAGGAGGCCACTGGCGGTGACTGGCAAGTGCCACTGGGCTCTACCTTCCACACAAATGTCACCCACCCTTGGTCGAGGTGCTGCACTTCCCTCTACATATTGCAAACCCTGCCTCTCAACAGTCATTTCTTTAGGCTGATCATGAAGCCCACCTTCCGGATTCTAGAGAGGTATTTTTAAAATCGAAAAGTTTTCCCCTAGAAAGGACGAAAGATCTCGAAGATGGTCTTTCACTTTTCCCATTTAATAAGAAATGCCTTTTGACATTCCTCAAAACAGAGCCGAGGGGCTAGGTGTTGTGTCGGGCCTATCTTCACGTGTAGCATCTAATTTAATTCAATCAGCGGAACAGTTTGTAACGGTAACAACGCCCTGCTCAAGTAGACCCTCACAGTCCCAAAGTGCTTCCATATTCCACATCTCATTTGCTTCTCACACTAAGGAAAAACAGGAAATATCAGCCCCATTTACACACCAGGAAATCGAGCCACACTGCCACTTTGCCTGGCTTACTGGACAGAGCGCAGCTTTGCTGGAAGACACCGGGGGGTAGGGAGGGCGACTCTGAGGGGCACGCATACGAAAGGCTTGGCAGCAGCGTGTCTGGAAGGCAGGGTCCTAAAGAAGCGTTTTAGGCAGGATCCTTTATGAGGAGCATGATAAAACACTGGAGCGCAAAGACAAAGCCCGCTTAGGTCACAATGTCTCCTCTGGAGACTTCCGAATGAATAGCTTCTTCTCTAGCTTTCTACTTTCTCAATCCTATCCAGTCTTCAAGGCCAAACCCAAATGCCCCAGACCCAGGAAGCCATTCCTGATGACCCAGCACAGAGAGGCCTCAATGATAACACCTTACGGGTTTCACGTCTTCAGCTTGTTACAACTTCACCATACATTTTTGAGGTCGGCTTTGTTGTTATTTTGTAAATGAGAGGAAGGGGGCTCAGAGGGGCTAAGTAATAGATGACATCACACCTCAGTGGCCTCGCCTCCCTGTGCACTTACCGTGTCTTCCATGTCACCCACGTGTCCCATAACCCCTCAACTCGGTTACCAGTTCCCGAAGGCAGACAGTAAGCCATACGGTTCTCTGTAAACCAGCCTCCTCGCCGGTACTCAGCAGAGCACATGTACACAGTAGGTTCTCAATAAGCATTATGCGTTAAATATCTGTTTGGTAGTAGGAACGGTAATTAATGAGAGGGAATTTCTGGTACCCCAAACGTCAGGCTCTCTGCTGTATATAATTAAAACAAGAGTGAACATGAAATGTATAATTTCTCCGAGCTCTAGTTTAATCAGGCATTTATTGCCATGTCTGATTCTGTGTTATGTGGAAAGAACCGCTTAGTAAGCATTTTCTGGAATGAGGATAATCAAATACATACAGCTACCAGAGAGCTTCTTAAAAAGGCAGAAACGAACCCATCAGACACCGGGAGAGATGGCGATCTACAAGGTATAATATTCTACCTGAGACTAGAGAACTTCCGAGGCCAAGAGAGGACTTGACGATTTGGGGCAATTCGAGGAACACCGAGAGAGGAAGTCGGGGTACCAGCTGGGGCCCTGAACCATTATACTCTGTATCAAGAAGATGGACGCATCCTGCTGTAGCTCTGGAGCCAGAACAGGAGACAGGCGAACCGAATGCAGACACATGCGGCATCCAGCCGGTTACCCTTTTGGGTCTCATTCCGTCTGGCCGCCCACCACATTAGCGTTTAGCTTTGAAACTATCAAGGGCTCAAACAAATTGACTGAAATTAGAATTCTGATGGTAGAGGTTGGCTCAAGTTCTTCTAAGTTGATATTTGGTGAGCTGAACTAACAACGGCAGCGCCTTGCTACCATATTTTGCTGCCAAACCGTACCTGATAATCTTAATAAGGTATCGAGAGGCAGGGCTTCTGGGTAAAACATACAGTGCCACCTTCCCGTGGGCATGTCACCAATATCAAGCGAGAAGAGCAAACCCCAGGTCTGAGGTACTCACGTTTGTGTCCTCATGGCTGTGGCCATTGGTCTCGGCCAGTTCCTTGGTACCTTTTAACTGCAAATTTTAAGAAACAAAACAAAACGAAAAACCCCAAATGAATAAGCAAGCACATCTGTTCAGTGTCTATCATCCTGTTAACTCTGATTCATCTGAGGTTGCACTTTATAAAACTTCCAATGAGAAAAAAAAGACGGAGCACATAATTCTAATGAGTCTTACTGAAACTAGTTTGAGACTAATATTTTATGAAACTTGATAGCTGGCCAAAAATAAATGGGTCTTAGTCATTATTTTTTAAATAATAAGATTAATAAAGCGATTCCATAGGCATAAAATGTACAAAAAAACGGGTTCTTAAGAATAAAAAATGATTTCATTTCCTAGCTGTGTCACTATTAATTCAAACCCTGCAGTGCTTGCAAGCTGCCCCAGCTAAATGACATTACGCTAACGATTATTCGTGAATGATGTATTTCCGGCCGTTTTAACATGCCGCAGTGCACGTCCTTCCTGAGAACATGCTGGAATGACTGACGTGGTGTCTGAAGGCCTAAAAGAAGATCCGTTTCTTTTCAGGAAAGGAGAACTGGGGAGACACCTCCTTGGTCGCTGAGGCATTAGATGGGAAGCTGTTTCTCAAGTGAAATTTTTAACAGTGAACATTTGAAAACACCACTTTCTCTCTCTCTCTCTCTCTCTCTCTCAGAAGGCTCGGGGGTAATCAGCAGCCAGGAGATTTCTGGAAACCTTTAATTGGCATTTTATCTGAGCCTGACTCAGAGCGGACATAGAGGCAGAGAGCAAGGGCAAAGGGCAAGCAGAGCTTGCCGCTGTGCCAGAATGACTTCCTGGCTTATTACGCTTCAGAAGCAGCATCTTCTGTATTGTTTTTTTGTTTGTTTGTTTGTTTTTTCCCTTATGCCTAAAATAAAGTATTCATGGTGGGAAATAAATGCCTAGAGTTTGAAAGAACATAAATGCACGTATACCATCGATGTGTTCGATCTCAGCGTTGGGTCTTTCTGGCTATTTGTACACATTAAAATGAAAGCTTCATTGTATTTTTTAGGGCGATCTCAAACTCTCAGCTAGAAAGGCTATGCTCTCCAAGCCAGGAGAAGGGCTTTGCCAGAGGGACGGTGACATGAAGATGCATGAAGATGTTCAATGTGGGGCGAGTGATGATCGGCCAGTGAGGCCGATGACGGCTCACCCCACGTCACTCCCGCTTACCAAAATGACTCCGCATGCTGGCCCTGAGCTATGTCGCTGGCAGGGATGGGGGAGCAGGCAGTGCATGAGGTGTGTGGGAAGGAAAAGGCACCACAGGGACAGGACCACCTTCCGTTGTCAGTGCGCACAAAAGGACTTAAAGAAATCGACCCCTCTGCGTGCTCCTAGCGTAAGGTTTTCTGACTGCAGGTGTGCCTCGGCTTCTTCCTCTGCATCACCCTCTCTGCTCATTGCGCCCGAGGTCCTGTGACTCGGGCGTCCGTGCGTGAGAGTGGGGTCAGCTCAGGTTTCTCAGTGGAAGTGTGGCACCGTGGTGTCAAAGCTTGCTCCATCTCTCTGCAGTTAGGGGCACAAACACGCCCGTTGTCGTCTCTCTCCCTTTTAAATAAACTCCATTTCCTACTCCTTGCTCTCTTTAACTTTGCCCTGTCTTCGTCTGCTACCCATTTGCTCTCATGTCTCCCTGTCCACTGGTATTGTCGCTCCCCTGCTCTCTTTGGCCGGAACTGACACAGGTCACTCCTCCGTCCTGCAGGTGCCCCATTTCCGTAACCGAAGTGGCAGGCCGGCCGCCGCTCTGCCCCTTACTGGCCTGCTCCCTGTTCTCCCCTGGCGGCCCCTCTCTCCCAGAGGGTGTCATCGTGTCTGATGACACCTGGCTTTGTGAACAAGGTCCAGGTGTTGGAAGCGATCATCTTTGCAAAGGAGATGAAAGGCAGGAGCCAGTGGGGCCTGAGAGGACCTGGAGGCACTGCATCTTAGCAAAGGGAGAATGAGGGACTGAGCCCCACCCTCCCTGGAGCGGGGGCCACCGGGGTGAGCATCCACCCCACCAGGGTGAGCATCTGCCCCACTGGAGTGAGCGTCCACCCCACCAGGGTGAGCATCTGCCCCACCGGAGTGAGCGTCCGCCCCACCAGGGTGAGCATCTGCCCCACCGGAGTGAGCGTCCGCCCCACCAGGGTGAGCATCTGCCCCACCGGGGTGAGCGTCCGCCCCACCAGCGTGAGCATCTGCCTCCCGGCTCAGCCCTCCTTTCCAGGATTCCCACCAAGAGACAGCCACTGGGGTGAGCGTCCGCCCCACCAGCGTGAGCATCTGCCTCCCGGCTCAGCCTTCCTTTCCAGGATTCCCACCAAGAGACAGGCATGTTGAAGAGCAAAATCCCGAGTCTTCAGATAAGGGTATATCTTTTCCTCTGTGTGTGTGTGTGTGTGTGTGTGCGCGCGTGCGCGTATGCGTGCACACGCACGTATAAAAGCAAGACTCTAGGCCTGAGCAGTCAGGATCTCTTGGAAAGGGGCATTTGTTTAGGCCCTATCTATCCATATGGGCACTTTAAGCTGTCGCACATGTTTAAACAAATCCAAAGGAAGTCTCGGAAGGCCGTGCTCGTGGAGGTGGAAGTGTGAGCTCTAAGTGCGTGTTGGTGGGCAGGTGGCTACCAGGAAATGAAGGGACGTGTCCACTGCAGGCTCCCATCTGAAGCATGGCGGGGCACCGGGCGAGGGGCTGGTGGCGGTGACAGTACCCGAATGCACTTGGCTGCTGTGGGTCCTCTCAGACTATGCATTCTCAGTGCCTTTGCTTGAAAAGAGCATCCCATTTAAGTCAACACTTCCTCCCTACTCATTCTTTCCTAGGTTTTCAATGATTTTATTTCTTCGGAATCTTCATGTTCCCCATTTATTTTTTTTTTTTTTTAAGCAATAGAGAGTGAAGTGTGATGCTTCACCAATGACCATGTCTGTGCTTTGATCTTTAAAAACGCATGCCATAACAAGAATATATCAATACTTGCTACGAAACTTAAATCTCTTTTTACAACTGGGGTTTGGACTTCGAATCCAAATAAAGGATTTAAGTCATTTGGAGAGAAGAAAGAAGAGAGATTCGTCCCTCCCCATCCCAGCCAGAAAGAGTGAGAGAGTGAAAGAGAGAGAAAGAGGAAGAGTAAACAACAAATCAGATACGTCGATCTGATTAGGAGCCAATCTGGACCAAATCAGCTCTGCTTCACTGGGAATCTTTAAATAATGCAAAGGAGAAAAGGACAGTGATTTCGGTCTCCTAGGCAGCGGGTCGGTGAATCAGACAACAATATTCTTCAGTTCAATCTAACTCATCCAAAATCATGCAGATTCAGCCTAAGTTACTGATTACATATTAATGATATAAAGATAATGATTAATTTTATAAAGCACCTTCCTCCGAAGCTATAAAAGCTTATAAACTATCCAACGTGTTCACTTTTCTCTCATAATTTGCTTATACATTTAGGAGAAAGTAACTAAAAATATATTTTCCTGATCCTAAACCATTACAAAATAAACGCTTGTAAAGCAAGTCACAGCTGACAAGGGCCATACACTTCCGACTTCATATTTTTAAAAATGTCACTCTTGCAGTCACTGATAGTGTAAAAATAATGTTCTCATAGAGCACTGCAAGTTAAAATTTTAAAACAAGCTAATTTCGATAAGGGTCGATGTGACCGTATGCGATTTTTCCTTCCCAACTACCATTCATTCCACCGTGGGCAGCGAGAGCCGCCCAGCCTCTCTGGGCAGACACGGGGCTTGGGTTTCACTCTGCTACCCAGCAGTCCATCTGATAGGCTGCGAAACGATACTTTCAAAACCTCGTCTCGATATCAGGCCACACTTTCGTATCAAAGAAAGCCAGGCCGGAATGATCCAATTTGCAAATGGCACATGGAAGGCGCGTTGCCCACCGTGGTTGGATAAGCACCATGACCCGCAGGGCAGGTGCTTTTTACCTGCCGCTATGAATCAGTCCCTCTTAGCCGTGTGTCTGCAGGAGCACCGTGGGTTACGCTAAACTCATTTTCTTCACTATTAGGCTTAAGAGGAAACTAGTTGCTTGCTGTGAAATAGATTTGCACCGCCAGTGTTTTAAAACTTCATCAAAATTCATTTGTCTTCTGGAAGAAACTTTCACACACTGCGGGTGGGCTTGGGAAGTCTAAACAGGTACCTGAGCGAGGAGAGAGGTGTGGGGGGCTGAGAGAAGCTCCACGCAGCAAAGCGGCTAGGATGGGCCATGTACAGGTTAATCGGACTGTGTTTTAACTTCAGTGATGCTTAGCCACGGGGAGCGGCGTCAGTGTGTGAGCCGGTCAGGCCAGAGCCCATGCATTCACGCACCTGTTCCTGGAGCACCTTAAGCAATGCCTGGGTGTGTGACTGCTCTTCCTTTGCTTGTTCCAGCTCCGACTTTTTGTTGTTTAACTCCTCCTGGATGGTCAGCAGTTGCTGCGAAATTAAAGGATATTTAGAGTAAAAAGGATGGCAGGTCAGGTGATCGTAAGATATTCGAGATGCCCATTTCAAAACGAGAGACGGTTTTTATAGGTCTTAAAGCTTAGTCCAGATCTCAGTTAATGTTTGTGGGTGTTCTGGCCCTCCCCAACTTAGTGTAAGGAGTATTCCAGTTTATGGCACATTATTAGGCTGTTTGTGATACTTAATGCACAACGAAACGAGTCTGTGTTGGTATTTACGAAGGCATCGTTATATTTCTTTAAACAAATGCACATTTATAGAAATATGAAGAATAGCGTTAATAAACAACGTATTGATAGAAGGAATTAAAAAATAAAAATTACAAATAATTAGTCATCTCCTTCAAGATGACTTCATTTTACATATGACAGTAAAGCTATTTCTCCAAGTGGCTGGGACCACAAAAGAACCTTTGACTTTCTCTGTTATGACAGCGATGTTTTATTAGTTCAGCGGGACTGAAGTCCAAACTGCAATCAATATATCAGCCGGGAAAACTGCTGATATAAGCTGTCAAAACACTAAGCCATGGCCTACACTGCTATTTTTAAGCAGGGCCACTGAAGGGACTTCTGTAAACCCTGAGCTTTCCTGGCCCTATCAGCTGTAACTCACACGGAGGCTTTTACCCTCTTGCCAAAGGCACAGCGCTGCCCAGCACTCACTCCTGGGAACATGGCTACATGTTAATACAAACACAGGCTGGGGGACGTTTAATTAAGACCTTCCAAACTCGCCCTGGAAACAGCTATGTCTGCTCAAGGCTTCTTGACAATGAAGGACTGGTTTGAAAAGACAGAAGTGCGTTTCTTCTGCTCCTGGACACAACGAATGCTGCAGTAATGACAGGAAAACCCTGCGGCCACCACCCTGCCAGGAAGGACGCCGCCTCCGACACCAGGGCGGCTTCTTCGGGGCCTGGACAAGCTGGCCACGGGGCCGCCTGGACCGTTCTTAGCTACCGAGGCCCGAGAAAACACCGCAGTGGATTCCTGACGCTTCGGCCCACCAACTGGAAGGGATGAATTCAATCTTCACAACCGCTAGTTTGGGGACTTGCTGGGGTATAGGGCGTACTCAGAAAAACGCATTCTGCTTTCCTGTGGGCTGCCTTGCTCTGTGCCCTCCTCTGGCACTGGACAGAAATGGAAGACCCTATAAGCATAAACGGAGATTTCCTTGCAGTTTTCTGAAAACTCGGTGGCCCCCATTCCTGCAGGTGCCCATCTCATGATCACACGAAGTGAAAGGCACACCCGACAGCGGCTCCCTTAAAAGTTTAAGTCTAATCCTTAAACTTCCTTTAAAAACGAGCCAAACCAAGGGCACGAGATTATCCTCAAAAGTGGACAGCTTATGTTGGTTCGCTGAGCACACGGAGTAGTAAAGTTTAAGAGCACTGATGTCTGGCAGAAGGGGCTTGGCTGCACTAACGATGGTACATCCATAGGATGGAGCGCTACGCAGCCATTAAAAACAAGAGGCTTATAATATGTTGTTCCCCGGACAAAAAGTTCAGGTTACAAAAGGTTTCACTGAATTTTGCAACATATTCATAGAAAGGGATCTGGATACTGTTTCTGGATGAGTCGATTTAAGGATCTTTCTGTTAGTTTTGCTTGTAATTATATTAGTTTCAGCTGTACAGCATAGTGGTTAGCCATTTATATACCTTACAAAGTGATCCCCAGATAAATCTAGTGTCCACGTGGCACTACACATAGTTGTTACAGTGTTATTGACTCTGGTCCCTCTGTTGTACTTTACATCCTCGTGACTATTTTCAGAGCCAGAGATTTGTACTTCATAATCCCTTCACCTTTTTCGCCCATCTCCCCACCCTCTTCCTACCTGGCTGCCAACAATTTGTTCCTCGTATCTATAATTTTGTTTCTGTTTTGTTTGTTCATTTATTTTGTTTTTTTTAGATTCCACATACAAGTGAAATCACATGTGAAGGTTTTTTAAAAAGCATAGTTGCCTGGGTCCTGCCCTCTATGTATTGAGTTCACTGGTCTTCTGTGGGACCCAGGAGTGAATCTTTTTAAAAGTCCCCCAGATTTCAGAAGCGCTGCCCTTGATTATTCTTTTAAGACATGTAAATAAACTTCAGTAGCTAGCAAGCGTACAATGAGATGCTTAAAATCTCAGGGAGTCAGAGAAGTACAACGTTTTTAAAAGCTGAAGAGTCTTCATATTATTAGACTGGCAGGTATTGGAAAGCTATATTGGGGCTAGCACAGCAACTAACTCATTCCCACTGCTGAGGGGAGGGGAGGCTGGGACGGCCATTCCGTAGAGTGGCTCTGGCTAATTAACCCCTTACGCACACCCCGTGGACCAGCAGTTCCACTGCCGTAGACGCGAGCCAGGAAAGTCCCCCCGTGGGGCCATCCGGGAACATTCACTACCATGTTCCATCGCGGCCTCGCATGGGGGCGGAGCCTTGGAGATAATGAGTGGCCTTCACTGGGAGTGTGCATTAGGTATAACTGGGTGGAGGGACCCCACAGAATAAAAGAATGAGATCATTTCCAAGTTTAAAATATACTGTTGGTTCCCCAACTTCTGGTGGATGAAATCCAAACCACCGATCTCCTCGGCTTGCCCCAGAAATACCAGGCTCTCTGACGAGCTCACTACCCAGAATTCTGCCTGGAGATTCCTATTCATTCTAAAAGTCAACTTAAAGAGTGCCTTTGGGCCAGCACTGACGCACGTGATGATTTATACGACAGAGAAGAGCCCCACTCGCTATCCACGAGAGCACGGGGTTAGGCAGTGGCGTTGGGGCTTGATTCCATTCCTACTCACCCAGCTAGCCGGCCACCCTTCTCCAGGACAGAACCTGCACGACTACGTGCAGCATCCTTGGGTTCTTCCAATCATCGAAGCAAAGGTAGCTGTTCTAACCGCTATATTCCCAAAGCATCTAATATGGTAGACCACATTCCATAGACATCTTCCCAACTAGACTACATCCACATAGCAGGTCATGGATGAATGAATGAGTAAAGCGATGAATGAATGTTGGCTCTGGTTTTCCCACTTCTATAGGTTTAAACCACAATCTAGCAAAAACAAAACAAAATGCCACGCACGCTGCCAAAAACCAAAAGTACTACAGTAACGAAAACTACCTGAGGCTCTGTTCCTGGGTAATTTATTGTTCCAGTTATATGGATCTGTGAAACTTCTGGAGGAAAATAGCAGTTTCACTTAAGACATTTTGATTCCTTACTCTGGCAGTTCCAGATTTCTTTCTTCATTGAAAGGGGGATATTTCTTAAAAGGCTAAGGAAATGCAGTCAATGAATTTATAAGTATGTAATTTCCTCCCCATGTTCCACCAAAAAGAGAGAGAGAGAGAAAAAAAAGAAAACCCAACAAAATAACCACTACAGGAAAAATAAAATCAATACCCCTAGACTCTTTTCTGCATTCTTCATAATTAATGTTTTCTTTTATTTATAAAGCATAAACTCGTGGATCTAACATTTATGCCTTCAGAACGGTGGTGATCTTCATTTGATTAGATATCCTATGCAACTGATGTGATAGTCCACAACTAGGTGATTTAACTCAGCCTTTCTGGTCCTTTCTCAGCTGAAATTTATGAGCCTGTGTAATATTCTTTCTAGTTTGAATTTTGAACTGAAGTTCACAGGCAGCTAGACCTTAATCAGAAGAGTCTCTTGGTCAGACTGGCTGACTGGAGCATAATTTTAATTTAATATTGGAGACTGTGGCATTAAACAGATGCCCAGTTTTTGGTGGTTAAGATTGCGCGTGTTCCAATTAGACAATTATCCATATGCCGATCGAGTGCAAGTACTCCGGTGGACAATAACAGGTAAACAAACGCCACACTTGACACGTCTCGATGTCTCCGGGCCACTGATTTCATAAGGTCATTTGTAAGGCTCTTTGGGGACAGAAATTTCAGTGCGCTATGGGTCTTTCTCTCTGACAAATTCAAAGAGCGCTACAGGGGTTTTTTGAAGCCCAGGAATAAGCGAGGTCACATTTCCATTCTTACAGATGGGTGAATCACCCAGAGGTGAAGTCATCATGTATCCCAGGCTACACTGTTCGGGAGAGACCTACAACGTGGCACGAGTCAATTTTCCTGCTTCCCACGGTGGTCTCTACCCTGCAACCACGCTGCGCTGTCGATTTGAAATGGACGCCAGGACACGCCAAATGTAAAACCCTCCTAGCGACGACCTCTGTCTAGGCTCTCACCACCGCCACTCACGAGCTAGGCCACCGGAGAGACGTACACTCTCTGAGCGGTATGAGGGTTTGACTTTCTTCAAAAACTGTAACCCCTCCTTCCTCTTTCTTTTTTCTTAAATTTTACAATTTTTTTTGTTTTGTTTTTTTTTTATCAAAGTGAAGTTTTTATATAGCTAACAGGTCATATAAGGTTAGCTCCCATGAAAGTCACAGTCCAAATGGTCTATACGAAATACAGCATCGACATCTCATTATCAGCTGACACACTCGGGAACCAAAGGCCATGGTGGATATGGCCGTGTCTGGATGGAGCGTTTTCACACTGGGTCTACGTGGCAGTGCCCTGTCTACGACCCTTGTCTCCAACCGGATTTCTCCATATACTTCAGCCTGCGATCCAAACCCCTCCTGCGGCCAGCTCTGCCAGATTCTTGTCACCTCATTTTGCTGTAAGGTGAGAGGGTACATCCATGAATCCCTTCACTGCTGCTGCTTTTCTCCCTGGGGTTCCCCAGACCCTCCACTCCTCCATCGTCTTTTGGTTCTGACTGACTTCAGAATCATCTAGGCATGTCGGCCTCCTGTCCTGCTCATGAAGTCTGCCTGTGCCTGTTTTAAATCCCACACTGTCAATCTGAAGCCCATGCGTGATCGTTCGGGAAAGTCTGAGATGTAAAAACATCGAGTGCGTATTATCATAACCTGAGAGCAGGGCTTTGCCTAGAGGCAAA